AGAAAGTGGGCCAATTTCTTGCAAGATTGTCTTGCATAATAATGCCTGACAATCTTGTAAGATTTTTTCACCTGGGGGTCCCCCTTCCCCCAAAAAAACTTTAAATGCCTCTAGGGGCCAAAGTATAATATGTGGCGAAAAACAGACTTCATCATTGGAATCAGCGTCCAAAACTCTACACATGGACTAGTTTTTATGAAAATCTAAGGGGGTCCCCCTTCCCCCCAAAAACTTTGAATGCCTCTAGGGGCCAAAGTATAATATGTGGCGAAAAACAGACTTTACCATTGGAATCAGCGTCCAAAACTGTACGCATGGACCAGTTTTTATGAAAATCTAAGGGGGTCCCCCTTCGCCCCCAAAAACTTTGAATGCCTCTAGGGGCCAAAGTATAATATGTGGCGAAAAACAGACTTCACCATTGGAATCAGCGTCCAAAACTGTACACATGGACCAGTTTTTATGAAAATCTATGGGGGCCCCCCTTCCCCCCAAAAAACTTTGAATGCCTCTAGGGGCCAAAGTATAATATGTGGCGAAAACAGACTTCACCATTGGAATCAGCGTCCAAAACTGTACACATGGACTAGTTTTTATGAAAATCTAAGGGGGTCCCTCTTCCCCCCAAAAAACTTTGAATGCCTCTAGGGGCCTAAGTATAATATGTGGCGAAAAACAGACTTCACCATTGGAATCAGCGTCAAAAACTGTACACATGGGCCAGTTTTTATAAAAATCTAAGGGGGTCCCCCTTCCCCCAAAAAAACTGTGAATGCCTCTAGGGGCCAAAGTATAATATGTGGCGAAAAACAGACTTCACCATTGGAATCAGCGTCCAAAACTGTACACATGGACCAGTTCTTATGAAAATCTAAGGGGGTCCCCCTTCGCCCCCAAAAACTTTGAATGCCTCTAGGGGCCAAAGTATAATATGTGGCGAAAAACAGACTTCACCAATGGAATCACCGTCAAAAACTGTACACATGGACCAGTTTTTATGAAAATCTAAGGGGGTCCCCCTTCGCCCCAAAAAAACTTTGAATGCCTGTAGGGGCCAAAGTATAATATGTGGCGAAAAACAGTCTTCACCATTGGAATCAGCGTCCAAAACTGTACACATTGACCAGTTTTTATAAAAATCTAAGGGGGTCCCCCTTCGCCCCCAAAACCTTTGAATGCCTCTAGGGGCTAAAGTATAATATGTGGCGAAAAACAGACTTCACCATTGGAATCAGCGTCCGAAACTGTACACATGGACCAGTTTTTATGAAAATCTAAGGGGGTCCCCCTTCGCCCCCAAAAACTTTGAATGCCTCTAGGGGCCAAAGTAAAATATGTGGCGAAAAACAGACTTCACCATTGGAATCAGCGTCCAAAACTGTACACATGGACCAGTTTTTATGAAAATCTAAGGGGGTCCCCCTTCCAAAAAAAACTTTGAATGCCTCTAGGGGCCAAAGTATAATATGTGGCGAAAAACAGACTTCACCATTGGAATCAGCGTCCAAAACTGTACACATGGACCAGTTTTTATGAAAATCTAAGGGGGTCCCCCTTCCCCCAAAAAACTTTGAATGCCTCTAGGGGCCAAAGTATAATATGTGGCGAAAAACAGACTTCACCATTGGAATCAGCGTCAAAAACTGTACACATGGGCCAGTTTTTATGAAAATCTAAGGGGGTCCCCCTTCCCCCAAAAAAAACTTTGAATGCCTCTAGGGGCCAAAGTATAATATGTGGCGAAAAACAGACTTCACCATTGGAATCAGCGTCCAAAACTGTATACATGGACCAGTTTTTATGAAAATCTAATGGGGTCCCCCTTCCCCTAAAAAAATTTGGATGCCTCTAGGGGCCAAAGTATAATATGTGGCGAAAAACAGACTTCACCATTGGAATCAGCGTCCAAAACTCTACACATGGGCCAGTTTTCATGAAAATCTAAGGGGGTCCCCCTTCCCCCAAAAAAAACTTTGAATGCCTCTAGGGGCCAAAGTATAATATGTGGCGAAAAACAGACTTCACCATTGGAATCAGCGTCCAAAACTCTACACATGGACTAGTTTTTATGAAAATCTAAGGGGGTCCCCCTTCGCCCCCAAAAACTTTGAATGCCTCTAGGGGCCAAAGTATAATATGTGGCGAAAAACAGACTTCACCATTGGAATCGGCGTCCAAAACTGTACACATGGACCAGTTTTTATGAAAATCTAAGGGGGTCCCCCTTCCCCCCAAAAAACTTTGAATGCCTCTAGGGGCAAAAGTATAATATGTGGCGAAAAACAGACTTCACCATTGGAATCAGCGTCCAAAACTGTACACATGGACCAGTTTTTATGAAAATCTAAGGGGGTCCCTCTTCCCCCAAAACAAACTTTGAATGCCTCTAGGGGCCAAAGTATAATATGTGGCGAAAAACAGACTTCACCATTGGAATCAGCGTCAAAAACTGTACACATGGGCCAGTTTTTATAAAAATCTAAGGGGGTCCCCCTTCCCCCAAAAAACTTTGAATGCCTCTAGGGGCCAAAGTATAGTATGTGGCGAAAAACAGACCTCACCATTGGAATCAGCGTCCAAAACTGTACACATGGACCAGTTCTTATGAAAATCTAAGGGGGTCCCCCTTCGCCCCCAAAAACTTTGAATGCCTCTAGGGGCCAAAGTATAATATGTGGCGAAAAACAGACTTCACCAATGGAATCACCGTCAAAAACTGTACACATGGACCAGTTTTTATGAAAATCTAAGGGGGTCCCCCTTCGCCCCAAAAAAAAACTTTGAATGGCTTTAGGGGCCAAAGTATAATATGTGGCGAAAAACAGACTTCACCATTGGAATCAGCGTCCAAAACTGTACACATGGACCAGTTTTTATGAAAATCTAAGGGGTCCCCCTTCGCCCCAAAAAACTTTGAATGCCTCTAGGGGCTAAAGTATAATATGTGGCGAAAAACAGACTTCACCATTGGAATCAGCGTCAAAAACTGTACACATGGACCAGTTTTTATGAAAATCTAAGGGGGTCCCCCTTCGCCCCAAAAAAAAACTTTGAATGCCTCTAGGGGCCAAAGTAAAATATGTGGCGAAAAACAGACTTCACCATTGGAATCAGCGTCCAAAACTGTACACATGGACCAGTTTTTATGAAAATCTAAGGGGGTCCGAATGTGATTCTGAAAGTGAATCTGAATCTGAGGCTGTCTTGACAGACGTTCTTCTTTTATCAATATCGTGCCGATCAATTGCCTTTCAGAAAATGTATCACTTAGCTGCTTTAGCCTGCTATATCGAAAATCAGGGGCATTTTTGTTTTTACTTCCGGTCGTCGGCGCTGGCCGTGCGCGGTTACCGCGAGCCGGCCGGAAGCTGTGAGTAACAGATCCTCAGGAGTCGAACAAGGTTGCCAAGTGCCAACTATTATTTGAGTTTTGTCCTGACATATCCGTACCTGCTATCGGAGTGTCTGAAGATATACTTTTTTGACGCGTACTTAACCCTCGCCAGGCGAGGGCCTTTTCCATAACACGGACGGCGAGGGGGGGGGGGTTGGTACGACCCCCCCTCGCGATTGGCTCCTATGGCACTTAGAAACGCCAAATTTACAGGGTAGGTGGGTCCATAGGAGATCTCGCCCCTGTGAAAGTTTGGTGACTCTAAGTCAATATTTAGGGGGGTTTTGGGGGGTATGAGTGCACAAATTTTGCTAAAACTTGTTTAAAGTTTTTCGCTTATAACTTTTTACCTAGCAAAGATAGAGCAAAAATAAAAGCACCAGTGAACTCAGGACGTCCGTGCGCATCGAATGATATACTTTCTTACCAATTTTAGTAAACTCTGGAATTCAGTTGCCGCTAAGCTAGTCCAATTTTCCCCTGACCTTGTACCGGTTTTTGTGACCTGGTGACCTGACCTGAAAAGACTGGGACTTCAAATTTTCAGGAAAGGTGCGAAAATGTTGCCCCAGAGGGTATCCCAAATTTGGCGGCGCTACGCGCCGCCGTTTTTACGTTATTTGCGAAAAACCTTAGGGGGGTTGCATCAAACCCCCTCCTCGTCGGGCGAGGGTTAATTTGTTATAGTTATAGACATGTAGGCCATCAGATTCCCATCATGGTTTTGGTGGCTACATTATTGGCTTATCGGAATTTCCGGTGCCGTCATGATCTGACCTGACAGGTGTTGCTATCTTCTCACGTGACCGAACCTAGTCGAGGTCAGCGCAGGCAAACTGATGAATTAGTTAATTAATTAATCAATTAAATTGCTAATGATAAATTAATTAAATTTATCAGACATTGCTTCGGAAGTACCCCGACAACCATTGGTATGATTCTATCATCCCTTTCATGTGAAAAGCGAGCACGAAACACGAAAAAGTACCGATGTCGTGCTAATTTCCGCTCCGGTCCGCATTGTGCAGCGGGACGCGAGTTATGATACAAGCACTGTAGAATGATGTCCCTCTTTATGCCTAACATTTAGAGAATATTTGAGCTATTCCGGCAAGTGGAAATATTTTCACATATTAGGTACTGCAAGGATCAATCGATTTGTTAGTGCTTTGGAATGAAATACATATACACAAGCTTGATATACTCGTAAGGGTAAGTACGAAAAACTGTGGTTTTATCTTGTGACAGCATTGCATACTGTTATTAAGTTTCTATTTATCTATTCATTTATTTAGAAGAAAAAAAATTATTTACGTATCTTTTGACCTTCCAAATGCCCCACATACAGGTCGACGGCGGTCGTCTTCACCCGTTCGGGCTATCGATGCCGATGAGTTCAGCGGCCACCGAGAGAGAAAGAGAGAAGGGAGGGAGGAGGGAGAGAGAGACGGTCCGTCCGTCGGCGGGCCGGCCCGACACGCAGGTAGCCTGGTTTCGAGGCGCCGCCGACCAATGGGCTGTCGGGGCCGGCGCACCGCCAGCCGCCAGTTACATCAGAGCTAATCGAGCCAACGGGAGTTGAAAAATCAGCGCCGACGCCTCGGAGCTTCAGTCGCGTCGTTGGGTCTGGACAGCTCGGAGCGGAGCAGAGTGAGTGACATCGGTGGCTGTTCGTACCGGAGTCGGAGTCGCGTGACACCCCCCTCTCTGGGGAGGCTGAGATCGGGTCGGGCCGACGCGCAGAGACCTGGAGCGGCGACAGTGTCGTATATACTTGGACTGTGCCAAGGAATCGGACTCCTTCGCCGGCTTCTGCCGACAGTGCCCGCTTCTTAGCTCGTTAGCTCGCTGCGTTCTGTGCGTTACAGGACCGTTATCCCAGCTTTTCTGGAGCTTGTGCTTTTGTTGAGTGGTACAGAGTAAATGAGCTCGATTGCTTCCAAGCACTCCTCTCTCCAAATTTAGCGTTTGGATAGCCTATGCCAGTGCTCCTTCGAACGTAGTCTGGCTTCCATTGGTTTTCATATAAAAACAAATTCCATTTAGACGGCAGACATTTGGATTTTTCCAAGCCTGTATGGAAGTCGTCTGCCTTCGTTTTCAATCGTTCTTTCCAAAACGGCCTTTCTCCTAGTCGGCTTTCATTTTGTCCGTGCATATTGGCACTTTGTCTGTGCTCAGTTTTCTTCAGCCTTTCTGCTTCCCTTTCAGGACCGAATTTCACAATGAGGGCGTTCGTCGCGATAGCCGTCCTGGCCTGTGTGGGCGCAGTTCTCGGAGACGGTGGCGGCCACAGTTCGGGCGGCCACAGCTCAGGTGGACACAGCTCTGGAGGCCACAGCTCTGGAGGCCACAGCTCTGGAGGTCACAGCTCTGGCGGCCACAGTTCAGGCGGCCACAGTTCTGGAGGTCACAGTTCTGGTGGCCACAGCTCGGGCGGCAGCTCCTACGCGGCGGCGTCCACCTCGAGCTCCTACTCGGCTCCCGCTCCGTCGTCCGGCTACGCGGCTCCGTCCAAGGGCTCCGGCACCGCCGGCAGCACCGGCTACTACTACTACTACTATCCGGTGGAGCAGCACCGGCCCCACCCCCGTCCCCAGGTGCGTCCGCCGGCGGCTCGCAGAATTCCGACGGAATCGGCACATCTCTGCTGCTTTCGTTTTAATTCAGACCATCGAATTTTACGCTAAGAAATTGTTCATTTGATCACTAAGGCTAACCTTTTTCTTTACGGTTATTTGCGGGAAAACCAAGGAAGAGGGATGTCTTAGTCATAAGGCCTCGATGCAATAAGCTCCCATCTAGACATGGGTTCCTTTCGTGCCTGGTGCACGTTGATATTGCATCGCAATATTCACTGCTCAATCATCTATTCAGATAACCAACGGTCGACACCTTTAAAGCTGTTTCTGCTTTCAAATGGCATGACTTTTTCAAACAAAAAAGGTCTGATGCAGCTACGGCTGTGGGACCAGTAGCCAAGCGGCTGGGATCCGCTGCTGATACCTGTCGCTGCACGGCTCAGCGAGCTGGTGCTAACGGCAGCTGCGTGAAGTCCATGTGACCGGACTGAGCTCGTCTGTGACCGGACTGTGCTCCTCTCTGACCGGGCTGTGCTCCTCTGTGACCGGGCTGAGCTCCTCTGTGACCGGCTGTGCTCCTCTGTGACCGGCTGTGCTCCTCTGTGACCGGGCTGTGCTCCTCTGTGACCGGGCTGTGCTCCTCTGTGACCCACAGCACGTCAGCGGCGGCGGTGACGGCGGCCTGGGCCTGATCGGGCCCATCCTGCTGGTGGCGCTGGTCGGTATCGGTCTGCTCGGTCTGCTGGCCGCCGCGGCCGCCATCGCCAACAACAACAACAACAACAACCGCAGCACCGGCCGTGAGCTGCTACCCAGCATCCCGCAGCCAGTCTATGAGCTCATCCACACGCCCGAGTTCGACCGGGTCGCCACCTTCGCCGTCAAGTCAATCGCGAAATGGTGGTAGATATAGGTACGTACTTACAAACATTTCCCGCGATGTCGACTTCGTCGAAACAGCACCTACGATTTATTTCTTTTCCCGATGGTTTTATGAAATTCTTGCTGTTCGGTCTTCGGTGCCGTTAATCCTATGCAGAGCTCTCTAGAAAGTTCAATTACTATCCACCAGGCGCCTGCGCTCTGCCGGCCGCCGGCCTGCCGATGACTTGGTCAATCTCGCCGTGTTGTTGACTCAGGCTGACCCAGTTCCCAGTGAGCGCTGCGGCATGATTTCATGCGCGCTCAGCCAGCCGAGGCAAACAAGTGGCCGGTGCCGTCAACAGCCGGCGGCGTCGGACGCGGCTGGCCGGCCCTCTAAGCGCGCCGTGACCGCCCGCTGACGTCGCTACCGCTACTCCACAGACAAACAGTTCCGGCCTGCTGCAGCCAGCCGGCCGGCCAGCGGCGGGTCCGCGCCGAGACTCCTCCGTCCGAGCGTCCGGCCGAGCCGCAAGACCGGCGCCGGGGCCTCCGCGGCGCAGTGGCCAGCGCGGCGCGAGCTCCCGTGCCACGACGCCGAATTGTCACTCGTCCCGCCGCATCCGTCCGTCCGCCGTTGAGCTGATGTCTTCGTCATCGTTGTGTCGCGATCATTGTCAGTGACGGATGACGACCGCCACGGTCGTTCATCTCTGTCACTACGTTTGTCCGTACATCTCGTTGGTCCAGTCCTGTCCGCTCCTTGAGTGTTATGTTCACAGCGTCCGTGCATGTGCGTCATCCTCGTTTTGTGTTCGTCATTTGTGTTTGTCGACGATTATCTTCCATGTGGCTGTCGCACCACAGCCGTGTCACCATCGCCATTCATTGTTGCGTCTCATTGTCAAGTCCTCGTCCCATATCGAGTGCTCAGTAGCTCATGGTATTTATTATTTGTTATTTATTATTCCTACGTGCCGCCCCAATAACCAGGCTTGTGCTCAGTCTGGTTTACTTTTCCATCAGTATTCGTTTTCACGTTATACTGCATCGTTTTATCCTCCGTGGCGCTGAACATTTTGTATGGAATATTTCCAAGAGTAGTTACGATTCCAAGACGCAGCCTTCTTGTCACAGTAGCGCACTTTCATCCCCTGTCACACATTCGCTCGTGTCCCGTCCAGTTAGCCCTTCTTTGGCCCGGGCTGTGGACATACGGTCCGGGCCAAAAAGCTCAATGTATGTGATACGTTTTTTGTGTATACCTCGTACGCTTTTGTGAGTTGTTACAGTTGTTATTGTTATTATTGTTGTTACGTCCGCACGCGCCAGGGTCTTGGTGTACAAACGACACGTATTTGACTGGCTTCAATCGTGGAATCGAAGAGCTGCCCCGAGAGCGCGTGACCGCATGTTGAGAGTGTGCGTGTGATGCTGTTTGGTACTGTACTTGACGGCAAATAAATCATAGCTCAGAATCTTATGGTCTTTACGGGCAAACGAATACAGTTGGCGAGGCGTAAACATTAGAGAGATAAAGCGAATCAACATCTAACCTATGGCGTACAAATCCCTAAAAACTTCAGGTTGAAGGACACAGGGACATGTAATCAACCGCTGTACCGATTTCATTTCAAATGACAGATTGGGATTTTTGGACGCCAGAGTCCCAGACGAAGGGGATTTAGAAGATTTGTTTATATCAGTTACTCTGATTCAAGTCGCTAAACAAACGCACAGTCCACAGCAGAAGTAATGTGGGGTTTCAGTCATGGGTATGTTCTGCTTCTGAAGCTTAGGAACGATTAACTAGACTACAATGAAACTTTGAATGTAGCTTATATGTATCGTCACCCTTGCAGCTGCAACTTTAGCTATTGACATCTTCTTTTCGATCACTCCGCATTAAACAATCGCCAGTCAAAGCCAACCGTTGAGATTGGTAAAACCCTACATTACTTTAGCGGTGGGCTGTACATTAGGCAATGGATATGAACGCTATCAAAGGCACTGCGGAAACATTTTTAGGTCATTTTTTAGATCGTTATAACACTTAAATTTCACTGTTCTATTCGCTTTGCAAAGTCAGCAGGCATTTTTAATAATTATCTGTGGAAGATTAGTGAGTGCTTTAATTCGACAACGAAAAGTCGTGACACAATGTCGGTACAAGTATTATGTTTATCGTAAGGCTGAGCTCATTGACATTATGCCGAGTCGAGTCAGCCCAAAGCGTCTGTAATGTATTTACCATCGACACAAACAGTAATTTTATTTAAAAGAGTCCCATTTCTCACTAAGCTTTGAACATGAGTTACGAGATTTGAGAGGTTCTAAAAGTTAGAATTTTGTCCTCTTCGGATTGAAGCTTGCAATCAAGGCCCTTGCAATATCTTATTAACAGCTCCGTTTTTCGAACCTGATAGAAGGGTGAAATATCGATAAATTATTGAAAGACTCTAACCCTTCTGTAGGGGAGAGTGGGGCTATCTGTTACAGGGGTAAGTTGTTACAAAGGAAATATCTTTAAAAATACTCTTTATATGGCGCCAATATTTACGCGAGCAGAAAAGTTACGCACATTTTACATGTCACTGCGGGCTCAGACCTGGTGGTGCGCCATGTCACCCTGTAGGCGCATGTCCGTGAAGTTAGCGTCAGCAACAGCAACGAATACAGCGTCGGATTCAGAATTGCTTCAAAAAGTGCCATCAGGTCAATTGGGGGACGGGGAACACGAATATGACATTTATTTTGCCCTAGCTCCCTTCCTTCATCCCTTAATCGTCCCTTAAAGGACGGGGCGCGTCAAAAGTGCCCCAAGGCTTCGTCTGATCGCCAAAATACTGGTCGCAATCGATTCCTCGGGTCAATATCTAACCTCAGTCGAAGGTTCCAGACCTGTGGCTCCTATCCCTCATCCCTTAATCGTCCCTTACAGGACGGGGCGCGTCAAAAGTGCCCCAAGGCTTCGTCTGATCGCCAAAATAATGGTCGCAATCGATTCCTCGGGTCAATATCTAACCTCAGTCGAAGGTTCCAGACCTGTGGCTCCTATCCCTCATCCCTTAATCGTCCCTTAAAGGACGGGGCGCGTCAAAAGTGCCCCAAGGCTTCGTCTGATTGCCAAAATAATGGTCGCAATCGATTCCTCGGGTCAATATCTAACCTCAGTCGAAGGTTCCAGACCTGTGGCTCCTATCCCTCATCCCTTAATCGTCCCTTAAAGGACGGGGCGCGTCAAAAAAGCCCCAAGGCTTCGTCTGATCGCCAAAATAATGGTCGCAATCGATTCCTCGGGTCAATATCTAACCTCAGTCGAAGGTTCCAGACCTGTGGCTCCTATCCCTCATCCCTTAATCGTCCCTTAAAGGACGGGGCGCGTCAAAAGTGCCCCAAGGCTTCGTCTGATCGCCAAAATAATGGTCGCAATCGATTCCTCGGGTCAATATCTAACCTCAGTCGAAGGTTCCAGACCTGTGGCTCCTATCCCTCATCCCTTAATCGTCCCTTAAAGGACGGGGCGCGTCAAAAGTGCCCCAAGGCTTCGTCTGATCGCCAAAATAATGGTCGCAATCGATTCCTCGGGTCAATATCTAACCTCAGTCGAAGGTTCCAGACCTGTGGCTCCTATCCCTCATCCCTTAATCGTCCCTTAAAGGACGGGGCGCGTCAAAAGTGCCCCAAGGCTTCGTCTGATCGCCAAAATAATGGTCGCAATCGATTCATCGGGTCAATATCTAACCTCAGTCGAAGGTTCCAGACCTGTGGCTCCTATCCCTCATCCCTTAATCGTCCCTTAAAGGACGGGGCGCGTCAAAAGTGCCCCAAGGCTTCGTCTGATTGCCAAAATAATGGTCGCAATCAATTCCTCGGGTCAATATCTAACCTCAGTCGAAGGTTCCAGACCTGTGGCTCCTATCCCTCATCCCTTAATCGTCCCTTAAAGGACGGGGCGCGTCAAAAAAGCCCCAAGGCTTCGTCTGATCGCCAAAATAATGGTCGCAATCGATTCCTCGGGTCAATATCTAACCTCAGTCGAAGGTTCCAGACCTGTGGCTCCTATCCCTCATCCCTTAATCGTCCCTTAAAGGACGGGGCGCGTCAAAAGTGCCCCAAGGCTTCGTCTGATCGCCAAAATAATGGTCGCAATCGATTCCTCGGGTCAATATCTAACCTCAGTCGAAGGTTCCAGACCTGTGGCTCCTATCCCTCATCCCTTAATCGTCCCTTAAAGGACGGGGCGCGTCAAAAGTGCCCCAAGGCATCGTCTGATCGCCAAAATAATGGTCGCAATCGATTCCTCGGGTCAATATCTAACCTCAGTCGAAGGTTCCAGACCTGTGGCTCCTATCCCTCATCCCTTAATCGTCCCTTAAAGGACGGGGCGCGTCAAAAGTGCCCCAAGGCTTCGTCTGATCGCCAAAATAATGGTCGCAATCGATTCTTCGGGTCAATATCTAACCTCAGTCGAAGGTTCCAGACCTGTGGCTCCTATCCCTCATCCCTTAATCGTCCCTTAAAGGACGGGGCGCGTCAAAAGTGCCCCAAGGCTTCGTCTGATCGCCAAAATAATGGTCGCAATCGATTCATCGGGTCAATATCTAACCTCAGTCGAAGGTTCCAGACCTGTGGCTCCTATCCCTCATCCCTTAATCGTCCCTTAAAGGACGGGGCGCGTCAAAAGTGCCCCAAGGCTTCGTCTGATCGCCAAAATAATGGTCGCAATCGATTCCTCGGGTCAATATCTAACCTCAGTCGAAGGATCCAGACCTGTGGCTCCTATCCCTCATCCCTTAATCGTCCCTTAAAGGACGGGGCGCGTCAAAAGTTTCCCAAGGCTTCGTCTGATCGCCAAAATAATGGTCGCAATCGATTCCTCGGGTCAATATCTAACCTCAGTCGAAGGTTCCAGACCTGTGGCTCCTATCCCTCATCCCTTAATCGTCCCTTAAAGGACGGGGCGCGTCAAAAGTGCCCCAAGGCTTCGTCTGATCGCCAAAATAATGGTCGCAAACGATTCCTCGGGTCAATATCTAACCTCAGTCGAAGGTTCCAGACCTGTGGCTCCTATCCCTCATCCCTTAATCGTCCCTTAAAGGACGGGGCGCGTCAAAAGTGCCCCAAGGCTTCGTCTGATCGCCAAAATAATGGTCGCAATCGATTCCTCGGGTCAATATCTAACCTCAGTCGAAGGTTCCAGACCTGTGGCTCCTATCCCTCATCCCTTAATCGTCCCTTAAAGGACGGGGCGCGTCAAAAGTGCCCCAAGGCTTCGTCTGATCGCCAAAATAATGGTCGCAATCGATTCTTCGGGTCAATATCTAACCTCAGTCGAAGGTTCCAGACCTGTGGCTCCTATCCCTCATCCCTTAATCGTCCCTTAAAGGACGGGGCGCGTCAAAAGTGCCCCAAGGCTTCGTCTGATCGCCAAAATAATGGTCGCAATCGATTCCTCGGGTCAATATCTAACCTCAGTCGAAGGTTCCAGACCTGTGGCTCCTATCCCTCATCCCTTAATCGTCCCTTAAAGGACGGGGCGCGTCAAAAGTGCCCCAAGGCTTCGTCTGATCGCCAAAATAATGGTCGCAATCGATTCTTCGGGTCAATATCTAACCTCAGTCGAAGGTTCCAGACCTGTGGCTCCTATCCCTCATCCCTTAATCGTCCCTTAAAGGACGGGGCGCGTCAAAAGTGCCCCAAGGCTTCGTCTGATTGCCAAAATAATGGTCGCAATCGATTCCTCGGGTCAATATCTAACCTCAGTCGAAGGTTCCAGACCTGTGGCTCCTATCCCTCATCCCTTAATCGTCCCTTAAAGGACGGGGCGCGTCAAAAAAGCCCCAAGGCTTCGTCTGATCGCCAAAATAATGGTCGCAATCGATTCCTCGGGTCAATATCTAACCTCAGTCGAAGGTTCCAGACCTGTGGCTCCTATCCCTCATCCCTTAATCGTCCCTTAAAGGACGGGGCGCGTCAAAAGTGCCCCAAGGCTTCGTCTGATCGCCAAAATAATGGTCGCAATCGATTCCTCGGGTCAATATCTAACCTCAGTCGAAGGTTCCAGACCTGTGGCTCCTATCCCTCATCCCTTAATCGTCCCTTAAAGGACGGGGCGCGTCAAAAGTGCCCCAAGGCTTCGTCTGATCGCCAAAATAATGGTCGCAATCGATTCTTCGGGTCAATATCTAACCTCAGTCGAAGGTTCCAGACCTGTGGCTCCTATCCCTCATCCCTTAATCGTCCCTTACAGGACGGGGCGCGTCAAAAGTGCCCCAAGGCTTCGTCTGATCGCCAAAATAATGGTCGCAATCGATTCCTCGGGTCAATATCTAACCTCAGTCGAAGGTTCCAGACCTGTGGCTCCTATCCCTCATCCCTTAATCGTCCCTTAAAGGACGGGGCGCGTCAAAAGTGCCCCAAGGCTTCGTCTGATTGCCAAAATAATGGTCGCAATCGATTCCTCGGGTCAATATCT